CTTCCCTAGATTAATATCTGGTATACAGTAGGCATTCAATAAATACTATTTGAATGATTGAATCATTCAACAAATCAATCTTGTTGGAACATATACAAATAGAATGGATCACAGTAGAACACAGTGGAGGGGAGTAAAACATAAAAGGGGAAAAATGGAATGGAGCGAGCCAGGGTAGAATGGCGTAGGGAGGGGCAGGTAGCTCAGGATGAAAGAGAGTAGAACAAAACTAAATTCAGAACAGCAGGATGGAGTAGAGCCATGGCTTTTCAATCCTCAATGCACACTGGCACCATCTGGGGAGCTTTTAAATCATACAATGCCTGGATCTACCCATTCAGATTCAATTAGTCTGGGGTGGGGCCCAAGCGCCATTATTTCTTACAGCTCTCCATGTGATCCAAATTTGCAGCCAAGGGTGAGAACCACTCTATTAGGACATTCTGGTTACAGAAATTAGGTTAACCTCAAGCCCAGCTGTACGGCTCATGCACAAAAGAGCTACCAGCTAGAACCTCGAACCCTACCAACAGCCCATCGGTAAGGGAACGTGTTCACCAGCAGCAACAGCCGCAGAAAATCTCTCGAATTTTCAGCTATTGCCCAATCGAGCATGTTGTTCTGACAAATGTGTCAGTGGAAACTCTCATCTCAACCAGAGCAGCCTGGTTCTTCTGCGTGGCTGGGCAGTCTGCCGGGGTATCTCCGGGGGTCTTCTCTGCACGATATGGATTGGGCAATCTGCAAAGGCATTCCATCTTTGCAGGAAGATAAACGGGGTCACCCTGGAACTCCAGTGCCCTCCAAGGCAGACTCTCCCCCTTATCTTTCTCCCACTGCCCAGCTAATTGCAAAGTCTCCTTCTGCTTTGGACCCAACCAAGCAGAATTATAAAGGAGGCCCAAAGTCTGACTTCCACTGTCTTCCGACATCAGATTTTTTTAAAAAACTTTATTCAATTTATTTAAACTAAAAAAGAAACACAAAAGAGGTTTACCCATTTCTCCTACCTCCCACCCCCTGCCTCTTGCAACCACGAATCCATTTTATGTATCTATAAGCTTGGGGTTTTGGGGGTTTTTTGTTTTTTGTATTTTAAAGATTCCACATTTAAGAGAGAGCACACAGTATTTGTCTCTCTCTGTCTGACTCATTTCACTTAGCTTAATGCCCTCCAGCTTCATCTATGCTGTAGTAAATGGCAAGACTTTCTTCTTTCCTTGGCTGAATAATATTGCATTACACAATTTCTTTTCTATTCATCCGTCGATGGACACTTTGGTTGTTCCCATTTCCTGCCTCGTGTAAATAATGCGGCAATGAACATGGGGGTGCATATGTCTTTTCGAATAAGTGTGTTCGTTTCCTTCAGATAAATGCCCAGTGGTGGAATTGCTGGATCGTATGGTAGTTCTATTTTTAATTCTTTGAGGAAGCTCCATACTGTTTTCCATAGTGGCTGCATCAATTTACATTCCCACCAACAGTGCACAAGGGTTCCCTTTTCCACACCCTTGCCAATACTTTTTATTTTTGATACGAGCCATCCTAACAGATGCGAGGTGATATCTCATTGTGGTTTTGATTTGCATTTCCCTGATGATGGGTGATATTGAGCATCTTTTCATGTGTCTGTTGGCCATCTGTGTGTCTTTGGAAAAATGTCTATTCAGATCCTCTGCCCATTTTTTAATCATATTGTTTGGGGTGGGGTTTTTTGGTTTTAGGCTTTTTTAATTTTTTGTTGTGTTTCGGGGGTTTTTTTGTGGGTTTTTTTTTTTTTTTGTCTTTTTTGCCATTGAGTTGTATGAATTCTTTACATATTTTAGATATTAGCCCCTTACCAGATACATGATTTGCAAATATCTTTTCCCATTGCATAAGTTACCTTTACATTTTGTTGATGGTCTCCTTTGCTGAGCAGGAGCTTTTTAGTTTGATGTAATCCCACTTGTTTATTTTTGCTTTAATTGCTTTTGGTGTCAGATTCAAAAAATCATCCCCAAGACTGATGTCAATGACCACATATGTTTCCTTCTAGGAGTTTTATGGTTTCAGATCTCATATTCAAGTTTTTGATCCATTTTTTAAAAAGATTTTATTTATTTATTTGAGAGAGAGAGAGAGGGAGAGAGCATGAGTTGGGGTGGGGGGTGCAGGGGAAGAGGGAAAAGCAGACTCCCTGCCGAACAGGGAGCCTGATGCTTAATGCGGGGCTGGATCCCAGGACCTCGAGATCATGACCTGAACTGAAGGCAGGTGCTTAATTGACTAAGTCACCCAGGCACCCCTGATCCATGTTGAGTTAATTTTTTCTGTATGGTGTAAGATAGTGGTCCAGTTTCATTCTTTTGCATGTGACTGTCCAGTTTTCCCAGCACCATGTATTAAAGAGACTCTCCTTTCCTTGTTGTGTACTCTGGGCTCCTTTGCTGTAAATTAATTGACCATATATGTGTGGGTTTATCCTGGGCTCTCTACTCAGTGTCATTGATGTATGTGTCCGTTTTTATGCCATTACCATGCTGTTTTAATTACCGTGGCTTGGTAGTATGGTTTGAAATCAGGGAGCATGATGCCTCCAGCTTTGTTCTTCTTTCTCAAAACTGTTTTGGCTCTTTGGGGTCTTTTGCAGTTTCATACACAGTTTAGGATTGTTTATTTCTGACTTCAGATCTTCCTCTCTCCAATGCCAATTCTGGCCCCAGCTTTTATCCAAATCCACTCCAGCTCTCCAGGAAAAAAACAGTAACGACGATAATGACAACTATTCCTTCTAGAGCTTTGGCTGTCATTAATCTATGCATGGTAAGTTGCAATGATACTCAGGTTATATAACAATAACTCACCGAGAGCTCATTATGTACCAGGCATCCTTCTTTCAATTTTATATATATTAGCTTATTTATCCACTCTATAAGGTAGGTGCTATTATATCATCCCCATTTATTTATTTTTTTTAAAGATTTTATTTATTTATTTATTCATGAGAGACAGAGAGAGAGAGAGAGGCAGAGGTAGAGGGAGAAGCAGGCTCCCCACAGAGCAGGGAGCCCAATGTGGGGCTCGATCCCAGGAGCCTGGGATCATGACCTGAGCCGAAGGCAGATGCTTAACAACTGAGGCACCCAGGCGCCCATCATCCCCATTTAAAAATGAGGAAACTGGAGCACAGAACAGTTAAGTAACGGGCCTAAAGACACACAGCTACAGAGTAGCAGAGTGAGGACTTAAAACCCTGGCTATAGAATCTGAGTTCTTAGCATGTATGTCCTGCTGCCTCATGCAATCCCTGTGTGTTCTTAATAACAGTCTCACCAGGCAGATATTATTTCCTGAGTTGACAACCGAGAACGCTGAGGTTCCACTATGTCCCACCATTTGCTCCACGGGGCCATATTGGATTTCCACCTCAAACCCAGAATTGTCTAATTCCAAAGTCAGGGGGGCTCCCAACCACCACTCAGCTCTGCCCTGCAGCTCACACACCTGTGAGCTTGGGGAGCAGGAGAGGCCTCCCCGTCTCCCCAAGAGCAGTGGCTCGGGCCTTCTCCTGGTCAGGAATTTCTCACCCAGGCCACCCAGTCAAGGGCAGGTCTCTGGGGACTTCTGGATTCAGAGCCCGTTTGTGGCCATCAAGCAGCTACACCAGGCCGCCCATCCTCAGACCTTCCTCAGTCTTCCGGGCCCCAGCCAGGGCACAAGACTCTGTTCCATGATGGAGGTGGTGGGCTCGAGTGGGTGAGGGAGGCTCTTTGAGTCACTGAGGAAGCCAAAGACCGGAGTCCCTGCAGCCCCGCGCCCAGGCTCCAGAGGCCGCACCCCAATACTTTGGAAATGTGTAATTCGCACCCTCATCCTCCTCCCACGGACCCGGGGTTCGGCTGCTGCTGATTCATTTTCAGAAGCTCCTCTTTCCACAGCGGCATGAGGAAGGACTGTCCCCCGCCAGAGCATGTGTGTTTGCTATGATTCATCACATCGTCTGCAACCACCTCAGAAATAGGCCTTACACAATCCCGGAGCCGCTGGGAGCCTCGCGGCGCAGGGGCTTCCCCTCTTAGTCACCCTTTGGGCCTCGGTCCACTTCCACGCAGCCACGGGAACGCAGAGGGACAGGCATATGCCCAAAACAGGAACTTGGGAAATTAGCAGGTGGGGTAAAGGCCGCCCCCCATTGTTGGCAACTGCTCTGAGGCAAGATCACAGCCGTGCAGCTCCTGTAGACATGAAATGTGCCCCGTAAACAAAGTCTCCCTGGGCCCGCGGGGGCCGTGGCCCTGTGCGCTTTGGCCCTGGGGTCCGGGCATAGGAAGAAGGGGCTGCGTGGTGCCCTCCTGCTCTCTCTGTGGGTTTGGAGGTTTGGTGGTGAGGCAGGCTGCTGGCCCAGCCCGAAGCTGGTCTGAGCTTGGGAAAAACCACAGCATAGACGGAGGGACAGAGATGTGCCCATCGGGAGCTCCTGCCGCTGGGCCCCAAGACCCAGCCCAGTGTTTTTTGATTCTGGCTGTCCACAGTCACCTGGCTGGCCGGCGGGGAGGGAGGATGCGATAAACATGGGTGCTCGGGCCCCATCTCCAGAGATTCTGACTCAACTGGCTGGTTGGGGGGGGGCGCCCTGGGCATTGGTGGGTTTTAAAAGCAGCTATTTCAGAGTTGGGAACTACTTGCCAAGCCCTCCCTTGGCATTTGAGAAGACTAGGCCCAGAAAGCAAAAGGGACAGAGCCAACGTCACACAGCAGCTAATGGCAAAGATTGGACTTGAACGTTACCTTGGCCTACAAAGTCCTGCATGAGCGGGCCTCCCCGCTGCCCCATTACCTCTCTGCATTCTGTGACTCTGCCTCTTCTCTGTTCTCTCTCCCACATCAGGGCCTGTGCACTGCCCATCGCCCCTGCCTTTACCTCCAAATCCTTCATGATTCTAAGTCGGCAGCCCCCTGTGCCCCTCCATCTCCTCCCCTCACTGGATCATGTTCCGCTCTTGCCAGAAATCTCCCTGCTCCTGGAAGATGAAAGGTTTACCATGCTCAGAGAGATACAACAGATCAGGCGTCAGCTTCTGAAGGTCAGTCCAGAAGAGGGAATACCAAGGCTGTAAGTGACTCAACTATTTGTGTCCTCCAAAAAACAGAGCCTAAGACAGGATAGGGTTCACACGGATTATTTAGGAGATGACCCCAAGAAGCAGGAATGAGAAGGGGTGGGGGGGCTTAAGTCAGAGAAGGAGGAAAAGTCAATATAATTGTGTGCTCTTAAAGTTGCCCTTGTAGGCCCGGGAGGTAGATTCTTTCGGGACCTCTGACTTCCAGGCTACCCTTGAACAAGGCTGAATGCGCTCTCACAACTGGGCCTGAGGCAGAAAATTGGAGTCGTATGTCTGGTGCCTGAGGTGGGAAGCTGTGCGTGAGTGTCAGAACTCACCCAGAACCCTCCACGTCCCACAAGTGTAGCTCAGGGCACCAAAGCATCCCCTACAGTGACATCTTCGGCCACAGTCCCTTCTGGTGATGGCTTTGAAAGTAGTCCAAGTGTGTTTATTTGAAAGAAAAAGGTGGTCACACCTCCCTTGAAGTTCTGACCACCAAAGAGTCAGAATTATACAGGTCAACAATTTCTCAGCAACTTCCTAAACTAAGAGCTGAACTAGGGCTCTCCACCAGCCTGTTGCAGCCCAGAGGGCTCCTGGGTCCCCTTTCTTTGCTCTCCAGTACCTGTCAGTCACTCTAAAGCTCGACCAGGTACCAGGTCTTCCCAGGCTGAACCCCAGGAGCTCTCTCCATCGGGGCCCTTCTTCCCACAAGAGGTCCTCACCAGGCCTTTGTGGCTCAGGTCCCGTAACTATGATGCTAGCCTGAGCTGGCCCTTTCCTCCAGACTCCTTGCCATGCAGAGGGGGACACTGGGCTGAGGTGACTTGGCCAGTTAGAAGCATCTGGTCCTACAGCCTTTGGTGCATAGACCCAGGACTAGCCACATAATTTGCAGGGCCCAGGGCAAAATGAAAATGCAAGGCCTCTTGTTCAAAAATTAGCAAGAATTTCCAGATAGTAACAGCAGAGCCAATGAAACCAAGGGCAGAGTCCCTCTGAACGCAGGCCCTGTATGATCGCACACGTGCAGGCCACACCCCTCCCAGAGAAATTCCAAAGGGGCAGGGTGGGCTGCTTCCAAAGCAACAGCTTTCCAGCCAGAGGAGCCTGGGTTGGAATCTCAACTTTGCCTCTCACCTGTTGTGCAATTGATACGAATTGCTTACGCCCCTGGGCCTCAGTTGCCTCATCGGTAGAATGAGAACGAGATGGCAAACTGCACGTAAAGTACAGGGAACATGAAAGGCATTGTACAAATGTGAGTCCTTTGCCCTCCTCACCACCTCCCTCCTCCCTTTCAGGCTAGAAGAACCGGGACACACACACACACACACAGCACCACTTTGTCCATGGTCTGAGTCTCAAAATAACAGCTGGAGAAGGTTGGGGGATGGGGTTCCAGCACTGTTGCGGGGCTGCTGTCCAGGGAGGGAGGGGGATCTGGACTCCCCCTCCTTATTAGTCTCCACTCCAGTCTAGGCCCGGCTCTGCCAGGCTGGGGCCATCAAGTCCGGCTGTGCCCCTTCCTTCTCTAAGGAAAGGCCGGAGGTTCCCATGGATGCCCCAACTCTTCTTTCTCACCCTCCTTTTCTCGGGAGGGAGGGAGAACAAACGGAGAGAAAGGCTGCATTAGGCCTCCACTGACTCATTGTGACACTGTGGGCAGGTCACAAATGATGATCCTGGTCGCAGCTTTCCCATCTCTAAAATGGAGCTAATGATGCCTGGCTCTGGCCTCAGTGACAGGATGTTTAGAGAGCATTCATTAAGACCGGTGTATGGCTGTCATTGTGCCTTAGCTAATAATACACTGGCCTGATGAGGCCCCAGGAGGCCTCGGGAGCTTTGGGAAAACACACTCTCACCCGTCTTCAAAGCATCCCTGAGAAGTAGGTGGGAGGCAAGTCTCAGGTTATGGGGCGGAAGCAAAGAGCGGCGGTCCCAAGTGGCCAGCATCTGTGTGGGGGGGTGGGGGGGGGTGGGGACGGAATGAACTCCTGCACACCCCAGATGGGGAAGGTGACAGTCTCCCCTCAGCTGAGAATAAGGTGAGCACCCCCCTCTGAGCCTCCTCCTGAAGGAGGAGTAATAAGGCCCACTTCTCAGAGTCATGGTAAGGATGACATGGAGCCACATGAGAGCCACTGCTGGAATCTAGTAGGTGCTCAAGGAACGTGCATTCTGGAATAAGGGGTCGGAGGAGTGGGACTCGTCCAATTTCCTGTCCACCTTTGCCGCTTTCAGGGACAGTGGTCTGTTGAACCGTCCCCTCTTGGGAAAATTGCATTTTACCTCTTCAGGAGGCCACAGGCCACACCTCTGTGGACTCAGATACGGAGTGGTGATGGGTGACCAGGTTCCCAGCAGCCTCCCGAGGACACTGGTCCTGCCCTCCCTGCAGGGGGAGGTGTCAGGCGGAGAGGGATGGAGAGCAGCATTCCTGTCACTAGCTAGGGCCTGGCAGGCGGGACAGAGGTTTATTAAGTGCCTATCATTCACTTGAGAAAATGGTGGCCCGAGAGGTTAAGTGACTTGCCCGAGAGGCAGAGTCAGGATCCAAACCCAGTCTTGGTGACCGTAAGCTCATTAGAACGTGTGGCGCCTGAAGCTAGAAAAGCAGCTCGGATCGAAATCCGCGTGAGAGACCATCTTGCCCAATTTCTCAGCCTGAGGCTCAAGAAACCAGTGTGCGGAGAAGTCGGGGAGACAGTCCGGAGGAACTGGAATCAAGCCGGGGCCCGTGCCTCGGGCCTTCTCCTCTGCCTCGCCGGGCTTGGGGCGGCTCAGGCGCGCCCATCGCAGGGACATGCTGGCCCTCAGGGACCAGGAATCCCCGAGAGTGTGCAGCAGGGCCAGGAGCGGCCTCTTCGGGTGCAGCTAAAGCTGCTTCACTCAGGCATCCACCCAGCCCTGCACCTGCTGTGTGCCAGGCGTCGGGGGGCACAGACCAGAACAACTCAGGGCCGTGCCGTGCAGGCGGGTGGGTGGCATTCTCCCCGCAGCTGGGGAGACAGAAGCTCAGGGAGGCAACTTGTCCAAGGCCATATTGTGCCTGGTGCAGAGCCGGGGCAAGAACTCAGAGCAGACCCAGTGGTTTTCCTCTCCACGGGCTGCCGTTGGCCAAAAGAAGAGAGACTCCAGCAATGAAGACGGGGAACAGGACAGTGACTGGGTCATTTAGTGTCCAAACCAGGACAGTTTCGAGAGTGAAAGGGGATGCTCTTAATAGTTACCCCGGGAAAGCAGGCCTACCCCAGGTTGGCCCAGGTAAACGAGGACGTGTGTTCACAGGACCCACGAGCCTGTGATGGGCCAGAGCTTTCGGCGTCACTGAATCCCCACACCAACCCTGAAAAGTGGGTGCTAGTTTTACATCCCCACTGGACAGGTTCAGAAACTAAGGCTCGGGGGTGAGGAAAGATCCCAGAGCTGGCAGGCAGCGGCAAAAGAGGGATGAGTGGGTAAGATTTGGGGCCTGAGGGAAGAAACAAAAAGCAAGCCAGTCACTTGGTCCGACCACCTGGGGGAGGACTTATGGTCGCTGTGTGTCCGCTACGAATGGGCAGTACCCGTGGCAAGCTGGTTATTAAATATGTCTAATATTCCTCCCCCTCCCCACCGAGAAAGGAGCCCATGGGTGGCCCAGGAGAGCAGAGTGCTCTGTGGGATGGGGGCTGGGGCAGGGGAGGGCTCTTGAGTAGGCAGGAAGGCCCCTCATTCCTGGAGCTACGGGGGAACTAGAAGGAGCCACCTCCCGTGGCTTGCCCTCCCTGGGGTGGTGGACTCTGTGAGAGGGAAGTCCTCTGCTTCCTTCCTTTTTCTCCTAAGCAGATTTGAAAGCAACCACTCCGGGGTCTTAAGGGCAAAGGGGGGAGCTGAGAGAAACAGCCGCCTCTGTCACGTTGGACAGAGGGCAGTACCCCAACCCGGATAGGGCCAGGCGAGGGACAGGAGCGAGGTGTGCAAGCCAGCGTGCGCAGACCAGGCCAGACCTGGCCACGGGAGGTCAGGCCGGCCCCTGTCTACAGGACTGTGAGGGTCCCGGGGGTCTGCGGAAGGCCCCCCACAGTCCCTTTGGCTCTGGGCCTGGGTGCGCCAGCCCCACCTCACAGGCCTCCGCTTTCTAACAGGAAGTGCCTTTCTCTTTCTATGCTTCCCCCCTTGGCCTACACCCAGCTATCCCCAGCCCTGAGTCGGGTGACTTTCAGGAAACTCATTGTGAAAAACCCAACGACTCCCAACTGGCTGCCTCCAGCCACCTGGGGTGAGGTGCCAAGACCTGGGCAAGCAGGGCCACCGAGCTGTGAGCATGGTCCCGACTCCCCAAGGCTGAGGCCGAGGAGCTAGGGTCCTGGGAGTCCCCTCCCCACAGGCCTCCCCCTCCCCCAGGCACTACTGTAGGAGCCCCAGGCAGAGAGGGAAGACACATCGCCTGAAGTAAGAGACCTGGAGGAATCACAGAAGGCTTCCTGGAAGATCCTTGGATCCAAGGTCTGAGGGATGCTTGGGAGTAGCCAGCCAAAGAGATGGGAGAGGTTTTAGGCAGAGGAAACAAGCCCATGCGGAAGCCTAGAGGAGCGAAGACCGGTGTGACTGGGGTGGGCTTGGAGAGAGGGACAAAGAGTAGCTGGGTATAAAAGTCAAAGTCTTTGCAGACGTTTAAGATGCGAGGCCGAGGAGGGACCCCATCAGACTTGCCATTGTGAAGATCCGCCAGGCAGCTATGGAGGAAGGGATTCTCAGCTCCCGCCCGGGGTGATTCTGCTGCCAGAGTACATGTGGTCACGTCCACGGACGTTTCTGGTTGCCGAAACTGGGGGTGGGCGCCCCACAGGCATCATTCACCCACCCCGGGTGGAGGCCAGGTTGCTGCTAAACATCCTACAGTGCACGGCAATCGATTATCTGACCCAAAATGTGGATAGTGCCCAGCTGGAGACACCGTAGATCACGGGAAAGCAAAAATGGCAGCAGGGAGGGTGGTGTCGATGACGGTGCAGTGAGCCTAGCGGGAGAAGAGGGTATTGGCTGTGACAACAGAGAGAGCAGACAGATCCGTGCCAGCAGGACTCGGTGATGGGTTCCATGTGGGGAGAGAAGGAACCGGCGCCCAGTCCCAACCATTCTACCCCCGTGAGGCTTCTCACTTCCGTTCTGTCCTTGGTCATCTTCTATTCCCACTGCCCTCTCAGGTGGACACGTGCAGTAAGCCTCCAGCTGGGCTCTCTGGCCTCCGGGGACACCCTTCCACTCCATAACGATGCCAGAGTGATCGCTCAAAAGCTCACCTCTGCTCAGGTCACACCCTTGCTCTAGAACCTTCTATGGCTCCCCAAGCCAGAGAAAATTAACTTACAAGACCCCGCTTGGCATTCAAGTCCCACCCAGCCTCCCTCTCCCATCCCCAATCCCACATCTCTCATGGCATACGTTTTTGGTTGCTTATCCAAAATCCATCTCCTCATCTTCCTAGCTAACAGAGCCCCAGTGTTGTCTGGTCACCTAGCCCCGTCCACACACATGCTTCCCTGGGCCAGTTCAATCCCGGCCTTGGAAACACGTGGAGAAGAAGAAGAGGAGTGAGAACTTCCAGGGAAGGCTTCTTCACTGATACATAGACACTCCTGGGAAGACATAGTTCCTCGTCCTCTGCTAGACACTTCTATCTACATCTGAATCAGCAGCAGCCCTCCTGGGGCCATGGGGGGGACAGGCCATGGCAAAATCTGGGAGTTGAGGAGGGCAGGACAGGGAAGGGAAGAACTCGGCTCCCTGGCGAGATAGTTGAGCCATCTTATCAGCCAACCTGGCAGTGCCCTGCCTCAGGACTTCTTTCTGGCTGCAGTGAGCTGGAGTTTTCTATTGCTTGTAGGCAGATCCTGATACAAATCCCTGGCTCCAAACCCAACTCTCTTCCCACTTCTAGATTCATACTGTGCTTTTCCACTTCGGCGCTATCCCTCATACTGTTCCCTCTGCCCGTTTGTGGGACCTTACCCCTCCCCTAAGGACCAACTCAAATGCCCCTTCTGATCTTCCCTTGAGCCCAGTGACCAGAAGCAGCATCTCCATCGTCTGCACACGATCTGCAGCTTTGCCCTGGTGCGTACCGCTCTGCACCTGCCATTGGAGTCATTCGCCTTATGTCTGATTGCCACAGCTCGACTGTGACAAGAGTCACAGAGAGGAGAGAGGACAGAGCCCACGCATTAGTTATACTGGGAGACGTCATAGCACCCTGAGAGGTATCTACCAGCCACTGTACCAGCTTCTGCTGACCCCTATTCCTAACTGTGTTCATTTCCTTTTCCTACTATAACAAATTATCACAGATTTAGCAGCTTAAAAAAACACAAAGTTATTATATCACAGTTCTGGAAGTCAGAAGTCCGAAATGGGCATCCTTGGGCAGGACTGGGCTCCTTCCTGGAGATTCCAGGACAGAATCTGTTTCCTTGCCTTTTCCAGCTCAAGACCACTTGCATTCCTTGGCTCCAGATTCCTTCCTCCATCTTCAGCACCATCAGTGACATCAACCCAACTTCTGCTTTCAGCATCACACCTTCTCTGACTCAGACCCTCCTGCCTCCCTCATATTAGGACCTTTGTGATTACATCAAGCCCACACGATCATCCGGGATAATCCTCCCCATCTCAAGAGCCTTAACTTAATCACAGTTGCAAACTCCCTTTTACCATGTGAGGTCACATATTCACAGGTTCGGGGGATTAGGATGTGGACATTGGGGGTGGATGATTTTGCCTACCCCACCAACTAGAGCCCCAAGTTAAACAGCCAGAAATTCACTAGAAGGACAGTCATTCCAACAGCATCATCAGGATTAGAATAGAGACTGCAGGGTCGATCCAGGTTCCTAAATATTAGAATGCAAGTTTCCACTTTGGCATGTCCCAGGATCTAACTAAGTTAGCTCGAGCCATAAAAGACTTGAACCCAGAACTGGGACAAATAAGGCAAGAGAGAGCTGAGGGACAGCGAAAACAGATGCAAGAGACTTAAAATCTGAGACCCATCTCCTCCGGGTCAGGAGTGGTCCTAACACCGGGGATGGGTCCAAGGGGCCCCAGAAGAAGGAACAGCAAAGACACAGACGCTGGAAACTCAATAGAGCCTGTGACATTCGAAACTTAGCTGTCCTCCATCCCACGGCCCCAAAGCCCTGCTGTCTGTTATCAAATAAATAAGGCCACCATAAGGTGTTAGTGGGTGGTGACAAGTTGTTCTGTTATTCAGACTCTGGTAGGCATTTTCCGGTAAATAAGAACCTTTAGCCCAAGGAAGAAATCTCACATGGTGGAAATTCACTACCAAAGCAGGCTGATGGAGGAACCATCTGGCCGCCCCGGGCTGGCATACATGGTGGTGAGGCCCCACCTCGGGTGCCCTGGGCAGGACTAATTCATGGTCCCTCCGTTGGACTTCTCCTAAGCCATTCCCAGGACAGCCAGCCCCGCGGCCATAGCTGCTAGTTCCCCTGGGTGACCGCAGCAAGGCCCAGCTCCTCTGCACCTAGAGAAGGCCTCTCTGTCCAGGAAAAGAGAGGGAGACAGAGACAGTCAGCAGAGTTTTACAGAACTGAAAAGTGGTTACCATCAAAATAATCAAGGGCAAAGCAGGTCGTCTCCAATTCCCCTTTGAAGCGATTTCACAAACTGAATTCCTCCCTTTGACCAACTTTCCCAATCCTCACATATTTACCTTGCGGGGGAGGCTGCTAAACCCCCCAGCCCCGTGGCAGTGCTCAGCTCGACACGTCCCCCTGACAGCCACCCCCAGCTCTCCTCGAGAACCAGCAACCCCCCCAGCAGAACGAGGGTTCCAACGAGTGCGCCGAAAATCTCACCATCGCCCTCTGAGGGGGATCGGGTTCCCATTTTACAGATGAGAAAACTGAGGCTCCGAAAAGTTAAAGAACTCGCCCAAGGTTCACAACCAGCTAGTGAAGGGCCGGGCTGGTATCGGAGTCCAGGACAGCCGGCCTCCAGGCCCAGGGCTCTGCCCACCGCAGGAGCGGTTCTTGGACCTTCGGCCTCAGGCACGCTTTGCGCTCTTAAAAACGACTGAGGCCTCCGGCAAGCTTTCATTTTTGTGGGTTATATCCATTCATATTTGCTCTATTAGCAATTAAAAATAAGGAAACGTTTATCTTTATTAACTCGCTTAAAATAGCAATTAACAAACCCATTTTATATTAGCACAAACAGTATCCTTTCATGAAAAATAACCCTATTTTCCAAAACAAAACAAAAATTAGCGAGAAGCGTGGCACTGTTTGACATCTGGCAAAGCTCCTTAATGTTGAACTTCAGAGAAGACAGCTGGATTTCCGTATCTGCTTCTGCATTCAGTATGTACAACGTGCTATATGAGGCAGAGTATAGGGAGAAAGTCCTAGAACTCACAAAAGTCCCGAAGTGTCCCTAAACAAGACTTTGAGAATCGTTGCACTACGTATCCTGCCTCGTTTCTGAGGCTCCACCAAGTTCCTAAAATGGGGCTTGCCCGTGGTAGATGTTTATTATGTCTGTTGAATGAATAAACTGAGTAAGTCCAGGGCAAAGCTGAGCGAGGAAAAAGTGGATTCTTAGGTCCAAAAGCAGGTTTAGGCTTTATCTGACCCAGGCCCTGCTTTGCCAAGGGGTGAAGAAGGAGAAAGAAGAGTTAGCAAAACTTTTTAAATCAGAGTTGCTGTGAAGGCTTGTGCAGGTTGTGGATTCTGCAAGAACATTGGAGATGGTAAGTGGAAGCGGAGCCCAGCCCGTGTTCTGCTCACCAATCCTTATGCCCTGGAAGGGCTGAGGAAGGGTTGCATTTTTCTAATTTGTGCAATGCCACTGAGTGGGCCAACAGCAGCCAAGGCCTTGTCCCATAGGTGTGAGTCCCCCCAAACACACCTGGATGTAGCAAAGGGCAGGTAAGTCCCCATTTCTTAGCGAGGGTGCCAGGCAATTCTGCAGCCAGGCAGGTAGGACTGCAGAGACCGGTCATGAATGCTTATTTTAGCACCTCTTACAGAGTCTGGAACTCCCTCGGGACCCACCACAAACCCACACAGCCAAGGCCTCTGGCAGGCACCCACACAGATCGGCACCCACTGTCCATGCAGCCCTGAACACGAAAAAAGGACGTCAAAGCAATAGCAGGTACTAGCCTTTCTTGTACAGCAGGGGTTCTCAACCCTGGGGTAGCAATTGCCAATGTCTGGAAACGTGTTTTTTTGTCACAGCTTCGTGGGGGGGGTGGGGGGCGCAGCCGGGTGGGGGCGGGGCTCCCGGCAAGTACTGGGCGGGGACTGAGGATGCCGCTCAACATCCGCGCAGGAGAGCCCCACACAGCAAAGAAGATCCACCCGCAGTGTGAATAGTACTGAGGCCGAGAAAACGTACTGCAATGAAAATACGGGCTCTGAGCTCGGAGGTCGTGGGTTCAAATCCCAGCTCGGCCACTTTCTCATTCTGTAAGTAGGGGCAGGTCCTTTAACCCGCTGTCCTCTTCTGGCAAATGGAGGAGGAATACCTCTCCTGCACGATGGTTGTGAGGCTCAAACCGCGGGAGTGCCTGCCCTCGCCAGAGGAAGGTCGCCCTCCCTCTACTCAACCAAGCTAACAGTGATGGTGACAACCCGGTCCCAGGTGTCTCTCACTGGCTGGCACTCTGCTGGCTGCCTGGTGAACGACATCGGTCTCTGCTTCCTCTCCGGAAGCTCACGGCGGGGCAGCCAAGGAAAGTTCCACGATTGCAGCTATTTAAATCGGCATGCATGTGAACAGAGACTGGAATGTCCAAAAATAAGAATGTTTATGGGCGGAAAGGTTGTTTTTTTTCTCTTTTTTTTTTCCAAAAAAAGAAATCTTTAATGTTATTTTTATGTTGTTTTCCCATCAAAAGGAGAAAGGGGGGACGGGGAAAGAATTCAACTTGTTTTTTAAAAAATAAAAAATGTAGATGATTGAATAGGAACACAAGTGCCCTTCATCTAAGGCCTTCACGGTGGTCTGGGCATAAAGCTAATGTCCGTACATCAAATCATCTTCTACCCATGGTTGACCCTTAACAAAGGCAGGTGCTGGACCTTTTCTAAAGTGAAGAACAGTCCCCTTTACTCGTCTGCCCTGAGCAGCTGCGTTTTCATTTTGTGTAAAGCTGGACCCTCCTGCAGAAGCCAGGTGCCCTCTAAGTGCTGATGATGGGTAGCAGATGTGTGTGGTGGGTGGGGACAGTCAAAGAAGACTTCCTGGAGGAGGCAAGATTTGTGCCACATTTGTGAAAGCAGGCCTCGGTGGGCAAGAGGGAAGGCCACCTGAGGGATGGAATGTCATGTGCAAAGGCTCAGGGACAACAGCCCCAAGGAGACCAGCCCTGGGGAGGCCTTGGAAGAACACTCTGAGCAAGGTCCTCCCGGAGCTGCCTGCGCTTCTGAACTCTCAGGTGGAAAAGCCAGTGGGCCAAGTGGAAATGAGTCCATGAGGTTTCCTCACCACTGTGCCCTCAGTCTCTTCACGGCCTACCACTGGGAAGCTGGGTGTCCTCCTTCTCACACTCACAGCACCCCATGCCCACCTACTCCAGGAGGCTCCAGCCCTGGGGATTCTCCACCTCCAACCCCACAGGCCCTGAGCCCTCCTCTGCCCTCCAGGGTCCACACACACCCAAGCTGCGCCACCCTGGAGACCTAGCCTCCCCTCTCCGAGCCTCAGCTTCCTAGCATTTAGAATGGGGGTGATGACATTCACCTTCAAGGGCTGTTGGAAGGAACCTTAAGGAAAGTGTTAAACACCCTGCCTAAACCCACTCCTTCTTAAGGAAGGGTGCGATCAGCCTCTCTCCCACACCTCTACCCCTTCCAGTGGCCTCCTCTGTGCTCTTAGGGTCTTCTGCCCTGCGGGGGCCAAATGCCAACCCCCACCCTACATGCTCTTTTGAGAGATCCTGCCTGAAATACAAAAAGAAGTGACCCAAGACTTAAAAGATTACACAAGATCAAGTTTCTGGTCAAGGCAGCAATGAGGGAAGCCGACTTTGAATATTTCTCCCCTCCTTGTTGAGCCTACCACACCTCGGACGCATTGACACGAATAATAACAAAATCCCCGTTGCTGGGCACCTCCTGAGTGCTGGGCCCATGCTGAGTATTTACACACAGCAGTGCCTGTGGCCCACAGGGAGGGTGCAGAGACACATGGGGAACCAGAGCCTAGACAAGGTAAGTAGCTCGTCAAGAGCTTCCTGGCTAGCCGAGCTGAACTGCATGATGCCTTTAATAAAAAGGCCGTGTTCCTTCTGCTAGACACCTCCCCAAGCACCGTCTTACCTACCCTGCAACCCTCCACCCCCATGCATTTGCATCTCCCATTTGGGGCAGCACTAGAGTTTGGCTGACCCACACTGACCCCCACCTCCCGCACCCATGTCCTCCTTTCATAGAAAGGCGGGAAAGCCAAATAATCAACTTCCCCATCTCCTTTGCAGCTCAGGGTTACCATATGGCCCGGTTGTGACCAGTGAAATATAAGCAGAAGTCGGCCAGGAAGGGGGGAGGCATCTGGGAAAGTTTATGACTTTCCCAATAAAAAGTCAACAGCCCCAGCTGGTGTGATCTCTCCCGCCTTCCTCCTGCATGGCCCATGTGCATGATGCCTCAAGGCCCAACAGCTCTCTCTCAACCAGAAGGCCAGCAAGTCAACACACCAAGATGGCAGAGCACAAAGATCCAAAAAAGCCCGGATCTGGATCACATTGTTGAGTTTCTGCACCAGCTCGTGGCGGCCCACCTCTGGACCTCTTGCTTTGTGAGAAATAAATAATCCCCTCATTATTTAAACTGCAGTAAATTGAGTTTTCTATTACTTGTCCTGAACACACTCTTAATACACTATTCAAATTCTAATCTACACTCCAACCAAAACACACAGACAGCCCCAAGTCCCACCCCAGCACTATCCCTTAATACCATTAACCTCTGTAATCCCTCCCCCACTTCCGGCACCACCCCAAACGGCACCCCCCTAATTCCAGCATCCATTACCTGCCCCTAAACCTCCTAAACTGAATGCTCTTCTCCACAGGGAGCGGAAGGGCTCATTCCGTCATCCGTCTCCAACTCCACCTCCCACCTTCTGGCCTGGAGCTATCCCTGTCCTCCCTCACCCTCCCCGCTCCCTGAGCCTCATTAACTGCCTCCACCATCCTGCAGTCACTTTGGGAGGAGAACTGATTGCTCCCGAAGGCCCGAAGATCAGGTTTCTCTTTTCTGAGTCAGGACAGAGTTCGTTGTTGACCTGAGATCATGCACCCCTCCCACAGTGCAGAAGAGTTCTGCTCTGTGTGAAAAACAAAAAACAAAACAAAACAAAACAAAATTAAAACAAAACAAAAAAACCTTTTGCCTTCTCTTTAAGAACTTTATTTCAAAACACTGGACCACGTCGATCATTTGACAAACATGGCTTTGGGCAATACCTCTGGGGGCCGAGAGAGACACTCGGGGAACATCCTTCCACGTAGGGGTGAGCAGTCGGAGTCACAAAGGGCTTGGAAGTGGCCAAGCCAGGGTCACTCACTTAGGTAGGTGGGGGACAGAGGAACTGGAGAAAGAGGAGGAAGAGTCCGCACAGTCAGACACAATACCTTGCGTTCTACAGGCCACCATCCTGAGGACACCAGGAAGGGCTGCTGCCCTCAGGCTGTGATGGCGGGAGGCAGGCACCAGCCTCAGCTGACCTCGGAGGCTCACCTAGACACCCCATCGCTTCAGATCCAGATCCTGAACCTCTAGCCACCTATGGCGTGATTTACCCACCCACAGCTCTGCCTGCTAATGCAGAACTGGCTTGTGGGCACAGACCCCGGCCAGGGAGCCCTGGAGAGGGCGATGGAGACCAGGACAGAGTCAGGACAGAATCCCAGTGACATCCCTTCCAAGTTGCATGATCTTGGGCAAGTTACTAACCTCCCTGTCTCAGCTGTATCTTTTCTAGAATCGGGATAATGCACATAGTAGGTACTTCCTAAGACTATTTTGAAAATGCAATGAGATTAGATGAGACACTGCAAAGAGCACCTCATGCCTGTGGGTACCTAGATGCTGGGACAGGGGCAGGACCGGGCAGCAAGCAGAAAGGTCTCACTTCCCCAGGAGACACCTGCCTTCAGCCTCCTGAGAGCTGAGATGGGCAGCCGGCTGGGGAGCTGGAGGTTTAACCAGGTTAAAATGTCTCGCCCACTTATAATCTCAATCCATGAATTAACAACAGAAAAAGTGTAGGAATTAAGAGCTCACCCCAGGATTCCTCTGAAAGAAACAACTGCCTTTGTTTAAGGTGTTGGGGGAGGAGAATTATAAATACTTGCCGGTCCGTGGGAGGCAGGGTGAGGCTGGGAGGGGCCATGGGAACCTCTTGATGGTGGCTGTCAAACTCAGCAGCACCAGAGCCGGTGGTCAGAAATGCTTCTAACACAGCAACCCTGTAGCGGAGTGTGCAGAGTGACGTGCGTGTGCGCACACATGCTCAGAAAAAAAATGGCAGATGGACTGGAGTTTGGGTTTGGGGTGTCCCTGGGAGTTTTATCTGGATCTCAAGGGGCAGGATGACCCATGGTGACAAGTGGGTTTCCTGTGCAAGAACAGAAAGAAGACCCTCAGGGTTGCCATGCCCGTTCTCCCTCGCCACCCTCTGGGGGCTGTGTCTCTGTGTTTGTAACCGTGGGCCGGGTGTCAGTACCTGGGCATGTGGGGGAAGGCGTGTCCGTGTGCCTGTGTGTCCCTCCATCTGCGTGCCTGTCACTGTCCACCCCTGCAGGCCACGGAGGAAGAAATACAGCTGCCTGTGGCAAGTTTCAGGGTTCTCGGTGTTTCCTGGGTCCTGTGTCACGGGACTAAGAGAATCCTGGGCAGAAAGCCTGGGCAGCATCCTGGCTTTGCCTTGGAATCAGAGAACCTCAGAGCTGGAAAGACCTTGGAAATACGTTGGTCCAAGAACCTCCTTTTAGAAATGGGAGAAATAGGATGCATATTACAGGAGGGCAGAAAAGCTGTGGGGAAGGAGAAAGAGCACAGAGTCAGAAGTTCTAGAACTGCGCCGTCCAATACAGCAACCACGTGTCATAGAGACCGGTTAGGACTAGAAACGTGACAAGTCCAAATTGAGAAGTCCTATAGCATAAAATACACCCCAGATTTCAAAGATGTAATATGAATGAAGAATTTAAAATTGCTCAATAATTTTTATATTGATTGCACGTTAAAATGATTATACTGGGAGTATACTGGGTTAAAAATATATTATTAAAATTAACCTTACCTGTTTATTTTTACTTTCTTTAAATGAGACTACCAGAATCGAATTATGTATGCAGGTCCCATTTCTGATTCACTTTCTATTTCTATGGGACACACAGACTTAGAGTCTTGTACCAGACATTTAACTTCTCTGAGCCTCAATTTTCCCAACGGCAAAATGGCTGTGATAATGCCTATCTCTTGGAGATGTAGTGAATATTAACTGAGAAGACATATGAAAGCACTATTAAATCATAAAGAACTCTTCAGACAAGGGGATGAGTGGTGGTGGTAATTCAGACTCTGGCCCAGAGAAAGGGTTAGAAAGGATAAAGGATTGGATAGTTTGACCTTCAGGCAAACACCCACAAGACCAGCCCTAAGAGTAGGCAGGGCATATGGCTATCTACTCACCACGGTTTTGGTGCTAGAGAATGACCTTCGAGCCCCGATCACAACCCCATAGACCCATTACCCAGACCAACCCTTTCAAAAGCCCTTTCAGCAACTGGCCTATGAGCCAGACTACATTATTCTCACCCTCCACAAGTCCCAACTACCCCTCCAGCCTCCTCTGATCTGCAGGCTGTCTCTTTCCAAGGGCAGCATGAAGCTTTCCTCCCCGGGGCATTCATCCTTAAAAGGACCATTTGTCATCCGAGTGGGATTTCCCAACTATGCTTGTTCTCTGTTCTTTCACAGAGACCCAGGGTCCCAAGGGTTCTGAAAAGAGGGAGATGGCCCCAAACTTGGCCTGGGGGGGACCAGCCCCTTCCTGGGACCATCATCCAGGGCCATCCCTGTTGCAATGGTGGTCTCGTAACAATCGCTTACAAACCAGGTTAGGCAAGCTGCTTTTGCGTGATGGGGCTATCTTGAGTAAACAGCATCCTATGTCCCCTGCCGGTCACTTGCTCAAGACATTGCTGGACATTGCATTAGAGTCACTGACACACAGAGTTTTGAAAATGAAAACAGGCCCTCTGGCTTATGATCAGATAGCATTTAACTCATTCATGATTGCGCCAGGTTTTCCAAGGCCCTGGGGCCACAGAATGGATCCTGCCACAATGCAGACAGAGGATGGTGGAGACAGTTGGAGACTCAGGCCACCTACAGGATGAACAGGCCGGTTGGGGTCTAGATCACCTTGACCCCCATAGCCCCCACATGTGCCTCTAAGGCTGTTTAGCCCATTGGGCGAAACCTGAGACCCAGTTCAACCCCTATGGGGTTGGGGGGATAAGTGTTGTTCATTCCAGTCCATCAAAGTTGCCCCTTATTCTGAAGGCTTTTCCTACTGATGGAGATCCTGAGTTGAAAAGAGAGGATAAGACATACTTCAGGCATTTATTACTACATAACAAACCAGCCCAAAACATAGTGATGTGAAACAATAATGACTAAGGATTCCTCACAGTTCTGCTAGTTGGCTAGACAATTTCTCTGCTGGTTTTGTCTGGGCTCACTCACTCAGGCCACTGTGTTCAGTGGGCAGTCAGTTGGAATGGAAGGCCCCAGATGGCCACACCTGTGAGTCTGGAAGGTGGCGCCGGCCCCTGCCTGGGACACCCCAGTTCCCTTCCACGTGGTCTCTCGTCTTCCAGTTGGCTAAACGGCTTCCTCACACAGTGGTCTCAGAAGAGCGTCCCATGGGGCAAAGGTGAAAGCCACAAGGCATGCGGAGACCTGGGCTCCCGAATTCACACAACCTCACTTCCACCACATTCTGCTAGTCAGAGACACTCACAGGCCAACTCAGGTTCAAGGGGTAGTGGAATAGACTCTGCCTCCCCATTGGAGTTGCAGCAAAATATGTTTTTCAATCCAGCACAAGGTGAGAAAATATGAATGTCTTCATGGAGAACTTTCCCCACCACTAGAAAATAATTTGGCAAAGTTATATTGTCTGAATCAAAAACCAAAACTCCCAGACTGACAAAGAACTTTTGTCTAATTCATGAATGTGTGTGCAACGACAAGTCGATGGGCTCACTTTGAGTTATATGTTGCGTTATACTTGAGTTATAACTTATCGCATTGAGTTATTCAGCCCCGGCTGAACATTAAAGTCACTTGAGAGGCATCTCCAAATCCCTGGGTCCCACCCAAGACCTCCTAGATGGGTACTGTGATTAGGGATAGGGCAGTAAGGGGGGGGGGGCGGTGCTGGGCCTGGGGATCTGCATTTTCAAGAGCTCTCCCAGTGATTCTGATCCACAACCAGGATTAGCTGGATTAGGAAACAAGCTTTATGGGAAAGATCAAGGCAGGATATCTAGACAAATGGGACATATGCCTGTCTTTTATACACAGGCTTCTCTTTAATCCAACCTAAGAGGTCGTTCTCAGAGCTAGCAGAGTCTGGAATGAACAAGATGCAGTCCCTGCTCTCAAATTATAGCTGACACTCACTGCCTGACGAGCCCTGTTCTGTA